GGGGGGTTGCTATATACTTGGCTTCCCTGTTTTGCTGAACCGTAAGGTGTGGGGTTAGCAACTAATCACTAGGCCCAGTCACTAGGCCCTAGGCAGTGTATGGAATATGCGGGAGTTGGGGTTCAGTGATTCAAGGTCTAGGGCGTTTAGGGCTTAGGGTGTAAGGTATGAGACCTGAGCCATAGGAGCTCAGGCTTCGCGCTTGCAAGTCTTGTCTGCCACCTCATCAGATAGATCATTCCTGAGCCCTTAATCCCAAACATCACGTAGATCATGCAACAGGGCTTCAGCGTAGTGCGGTTCAGGATTTCGGGCCTGGATCAACGGGTTCTACTCTTAGGGCTGGAGATTATATTACAGCGCCTTGTCTTGTTCATTGCGTTTTTGTTTTGGAGCTTGGTTTGGGATTTTGGTCGGGAGTCTGGGTGAAGGATGTAGTATATCTGATGCAAAGTTTGGCATATAGGATGTGGGGTTTGGGGTTTGGACAGGGCTTCAGGAGCCGTTGGCTGGTGGCTGACGAGGGGTTAGGGTGTAGTTGGCAGTTACGCACCCTTTGCCTGTTCGGGAAGGGTATTTCCAGTAATCTAAATAAAAACTATCCGGAATCTGCGCAGGGTCCTAGACTCACTAGACCCTGAACCCTGAATCCGCGCCCAACAAACCCTAGACCCCAACGACACCTCGCTGGCAGGTCTTGCGGGCGTGTTGCTGGCACTTGCGATGGCTTGCTGGAAGACCCGCGACAGCACCAAAAAAACAGAGTAAACCCTAAACCAAAAAACTAAGCAAAACACAGCACTCAACGGCTGTGTTCGAGGTAATTAGCCACGATCCCGGTTTCGGCACTGCCCACTTCTCGTGCTAGTACTAGTACGAGTGCTAGAAGCAGTAGCTGTGGTGGTGGTAGTAGTAGTAGTNNAGCAGCAGCAGTAGCACCACCACCACACGACGACGACTACTGCTACCACTACTATCCACTACTATACGAGTACTAGCTCTTGGACGATCTTGGACGACGGCGACGCCTGCTGCTACTACTGCAGCGGCGGCTGTGACTGGGACTGCTACTGTTCCACACTAACCCACATGCTTCTACCAGCATCTCTGGCTGCCAGTCGCACCGCCTTTATCAGCATGGCCCAGAGCCCTGAACGATAAGTACACATGGTTCGACCCGAAACTTAAGGCATTCTTGGCGGCACCGCGTGGTCGGCCTGGTCGCACTCTGCATGGTCGTAGCTATTGCTGGCGCAAGCGCTGCACTTCAACACAATGGCAGCCGAATGGCTCTGAACTGGCTTGGTGCATTTGTATCCGGTTTTCTGCGCCTTGCCATTTCTAGCATTTTTTCTTACTTGGAGTGTCCGGGACATGCCAGTCCAGGAAGGCATGTGATATGGTTCTTTCTTGGCTTTAGAACTTGGCGGGAGGCTCCATTCCCGCGCCGCGTCTCAAGGGATTTTTAGCAATGTTCAACTCCAGCAAAGTCTGTGCGTGCAGATAGTCTTATGCAGCTCGCATACCAGGGTTGCGGGCCTGGACGTTTAACGGGTTCTGATTCCCCTAAACCCTAAAGCCCTAAACTCCTAAGCCCTTAACCCTTAAAGGACCCGAAACCATTTCGGGAGCTTCTGATCTCTGGTGTCAGGTGTAGAACCCAGAGCCTAGGCTGAACATGCTTTATTTCCTAGGTTGGGTTTAGGGTTTAGGGTTTTTTTTGGTAGCCTGGGTTCAAAATAGGGCTTTTTCGTGGCTGGTTGTTCAATGACAAGTCCTAACCTTGGCGTTAGACTTGTTCACAGAAGTTTGTCAGTAGCTCCTGTCTGTCACTCTCATGATAACAATGTCGCGTGTCGAGAGCGAGTCATGGACCTTATGGCCTCATCCCTAAACCCTAAACCCTAAAATCTGCATTGTCCAAGCAAGACAAAGTACTAATCCCCGCACCAAAACCCGCCTAAACCCTACCTAGACCCTGAAGAACCTACCTTTTTAGGGCTCCTTAATATAGTGTCTTTATATAAGTCCTTAAAATGGTCGGTTCTTTGGGGTGAAGGTGAACCTTAAGCTCTACACCCTTGAACCCTGAAGATACGGGGCCCCACCCTAAACCCAAAGCCACCTTTTCGCTCAAAAACCCCAGGGCTATCCACTGGTACCCTATCCACGGTGCTCTTGAACTCCCAGGAGCCCGAGCATAAGGGTTATATTACAATGATCTCTCTCTATATTATATATATATATATATATACATTATTGGTATTATACAAGATGTATACTATATGGCTCAGTCATGTTAATGTGCATGTTTTTTGCATTGCATCTTATAAACTCTAAGCTATATGCTTTAGCTCGTATACTTGTATATAGCTTATGAAAACTGAAATATAGATACACAATGAAAAGTATATGGGTGTATGTATATTTATATATGTATACATGAACACGAGGGTTACTATGAAAGTGCCTATAGGGGCGATGATCGCGGCTACTCTGTGCTGATTCTTGCGGTTGCCTGTGACCTCGTCGGAGTTGTCGCCGTTGCTAGGGCACTAGGGTTACAAGGTTGTACGACACGATGGTTTAGGGCGGAGGGTAGAGGTCAAGGATCCCTGGTTAATATAGGAACCTGATTAAGAAACCCTGGGCCTTTATTAGGGTCCTTCATATGAATCCTAATATATTGGGGGTATAGGGCCAGGGTTTCTTAATCAGGTTCCTACATTATCCTAGTTGCGCAGCAGTGTCATCGATATTCGGTGTTGAAGGTTGTTCTAAAGCCTAAACCCTACCTTGACCCTAAAGAACCTACCTTTTTCGTGTTCCTTATTATGATTTCCTTACACAAGTCCGTAAAAAAAGGTAGGTTATTTGGTGTAAAGCTTAAGGTTTACCTTCACCCCCAAAGAACCTACCTTTTTAAGGACTTATATAAAGAAACTATAATAAGGAGCCCTCAAAAGGTAGGTTCTTTAGGGTCTAGGTAGGGGTTTAGGCGGGTTTGGGTGGGGGGCGTCCGAAGATTAGTACTTTGTCTTGCTTGGACAACCCCAGACCCCCAAAAGGATCTAAAAAATAGATCCCCTAAGGGGGTTCCTATAAAGTACCCTTTAGCAGTTCGGGTCCCTAATTAGGGGATCTATTTTTTAGATCCCTCAACCCTAAACCTAAACCCGGGTGGGGTTGGAAATCTCAAGTGATGCTTGAGCTAGTAGCCAGGAGGGCTGAGAGGAGAAGTTGAGTTAGAAGAAACAGGGCTGAGTCTCATGGTGTATAGGATCCAGGGATATAGGGTTTAGGGGATACCATGGAAGCCTAAATAATTACCAATATTATTCCTTAGGTTCCTTATTATAAGTATACTATCAAGGAGCCCAAAACCCTATTAAATTTATTAAGGCCCCTGCATTATAGGGTTTTGAGTTCCTTCTCGAGGTTTTCGTGGTTTGGACTGAGTCGTCTTAGCGTCTTAGACACCTGCCAGGAAAATTGGATGATTTGAACCTCGTAGAGCAGCGACTGCTTCTGCTCATCGCTGCAAGCTTCTTCTACTTGATGGAGGCAGTGCGGCTGTGATGCACATCATCTGCGAAGACGCCCTCAAGACAAGCAACAAGCAACACCAGCAACAACCCCGTCTAAGCACAAACTAGAACCGCTCCATTCGTGATTCACTAAACCTATCGATCTTGAGCGTGTTCGTATCAGCAACCCCTTTTCTGAAATTTGAAGCACCACTTAAGCCCAAAGCCCCTAAAACCTGCCCAATCCTGCAACTCTACGCCGGTAGCCCGAAACAAAAAAATCACGGCCTCAAGCCCCCAAAAAGCCTAAACCCCCTAAAATCCTGATGATGAGAATTCGCAGCTCTGTCTTGATTCCAGAGTGCCATGTTCGATTCCGAAGTGTGATGGCCAAGGGACCTGAGCGTCCTAGTCCGTTTCGAAGCTCTTACCGAGGATTTGTATAGTGAACTGAAGCTA